GTTAGGTCATCAGCATATTTGACAAAGTTAATGTCATTTGAAGATGGTAGGTCATGTAGAAAGAAAGAAAGAAAAGAGAAGTGGGGAGAGTACAGCACCTTGGGGGACACCAGCTTCAGTGAGCACAGCAGAGGAGGATTTCCTTTGTATACGGTGTACTGCATTCTGTTTGAAAAGTAGGAATGCAACCAGTTAGTGACCCAGGACTCGGTTTGTGTCATGGAGAGCTTATTTAGCAAGAGACATCTAGGTACAGAGTCGAAAGCAGAAGTGAAGTCAAGAAACGTGCAGCGGACATATTTGGCACCTTTGTCTAATGATGAGACAATACTGTTGTGTAAGACGGCTGCAGCGTCTAAAGTACTCCTACCCTGTCTGTAGGCAAATTGTTTGGGGTCTTCGAAGCTTTTAAGGGAGGGTTCGAGTTTAAGAAGTACTAGTTTTTCCATGAGCTTTAGAAACGGGGAAGTGATGGCGATGGGTCTGAACTTTACGTTCTTGCTATTGCCAGGTTTAGGGACAGGGACTATTTTAATGTCTTTCCATGGAACAGGTACAACGTTTTCGGAGAAAGAAGCATTTAGGATATTAGTTAGAGGAGAACATAAAGCATCTGCACATTGTTTTAGAACATATGCAGGTATGCCATCAGGGCCAAGACTATGTGAGGGCTTAAGAGTTTTAAGACATTTCAAAACATCGAGAGTATTAAAGTCCTGGAAGTTATCAGCTACAAGATTAGTAACGTTAGAAGTGGTTATAGTAGAAGGAGAGCGTGTAAAAGACAGATTAAGAGCATTAACATCACAAGAGGGAAAAACATTACATCGCTTACTATTGCCAGTAATTTCATTGAAAATTTTCCACATGCTGTTAGGAGATTTGCATGATAAAAGTGTTTGGTTATAGATAGCATTAAGATTTTTGATTTCAGATTTGATTTGAGCATTAATCTTTTTAAGTCCTAACTTGTCTTTGCATTTATATAACATTTCTTTTTGCCTGCGAAGTTGTTTGAGATGGGGAGACGAGAAGCGGTCGAGGCGTTTGAACAGTGTTTGTTTGGGACAGCATATGTCGAGGCAGAACTTAAGATAATCCATTATATTGGTGATTGAGTCATCTAATGTACTTTCATAGAATAGATCCCAGTTGGTATCTTTTAACATGCATCTTAGATTGAGTAAGTTGTCAGATGTGTAGCATCTTTGTTGTGCTTTCGTAGACAGGTGTGAGAAGATTTTAATATGTGTTTTGCTGTATATTTTTGGCAAAACGCGGACAATGCAGTGATCGGAGTTTAGTATCGGTGAACGTCTACGTGTTTCATATACTCCTTCGTCATTAGTAAAAACTAGATCGAGTGTTTTGTCAAGTCGAGTGGGAAATTTGACTATGTTTGTGTGACCAAGAGCTTCAAGAAAGGAGCAATCTGAGGTGTTGAAGTCTCCAGTAATAACGGATAGAGAGTTGTCGAAGTTGGCAGCAGCAAACATGGTGAATTCATCAGCAAAATTAGATAGATCAGATGGAGAGCAACTAGGAGAAATGTACATGTTTGTAATATAGATTGTTTATATTTGGGGAGATGTTTGGGGCGACATTTGACAGTAATACAGTCAATGAAGTCATTTGAGAAGGTGAAGCAGACGTTATTTGAGACAGACCATTTGGAGTGAATAAAAGTTGCAACGCCACCACCATTTTTCTTATTACAACATTGACGGTCTTGACGAAATAAAATAAAGTCCTTTAGTGAGATAAGGTTGTCATCATACAGTTCATGCAACCACGTTTCTTGTAATGTGATTATGGCGGTGTTATGATACGTATCAGTTGACATCAAGGATTGTAGGTACATTATCTTGTTTGGCAGAGAGCGACAGTTTGTGTTCATTATGACGGGGACCGTAGTTAAGTGTATTGGTGTACGTTTGAGAGCTCTCTGCCAACCACTACGATGTTTCCTTCTTGGTTTCTTTGGAATATGAAAGTCATTTGGTCGTAAATGATTAATAAAGTTACGAGAGTAAATGATTCTGTTAGAATTCATATTTAGGTGATAAATAAATGTTGGTAAACAGTAGACTGGATGCAAAATATAGATATTATAGTAGCAGGCCCAAAAATTCGAACAGGCCGCCAAGGTCAAGGTCGTGGCCCAATGATTGGTCTAATTGTCTAATTGGTTCAAGTGGGTTCTTTAACCTACACAGGCTGTCCCTAGGTGAGTTTGTAGGTTTAAATGCCACCCTAATTCCTGCTTTATTTAGAATCCTACGTAGAGAACATATTCACAGCTCAACATATACAAGCGGTTCTTTACTTGCACTTCTTGTCAGCTGTCTCACGAATCCAAGCAAATCAAATTTTGTTCATACATTTATTCCCCTTAATGAATTTGAACAAAGCAAGAACCACAGTTTTTGCAGAATAAATTGGTACCATCTTTTATTTCGTTGCCTTCTCGTCAGCTGCTTACAGGACAAAGAAATTATTAAATATGTCTACAAAAACAATTTTAACGTACTTGCACAGAGTTCATTTTAAACAAAAATCAATCGATCAGCATATGCATACAGTAATAACATATACTTATATATATATATGTAATATTAAACATTATTCCGAACAATAATAATCATACACAATGGAAACGTTTCAGCATTTAGCATTCAAATGAAAGAGAGATGAAAATATCCAGTTACCAGGCAGGGCAAAGAAAGACTGATAACCGCTTCTTTCTGGACGCATAAATCAGGTTTCATGCGCTTGATGGAAATGGCTTCAGCAAACTTGAGGAGCTTTAAACAGTGCCATCGCCAAGCATCTACTTGACACCGGTCATGAGATGTACGTCGAAACGTCGTTCAAAATTATCAACAGGTAAAAGAGCTCAATTCTCCTCAGGTTTGCTGAAGCCATTTCCATCAAGCGCATGAAACCTGATTTATGCGTCCAGAAAGAAGCAGTTATCAGTCTTTCTTTGCCCTGCCTGGTAACTGGATATTTTCATCTCTCTTTCATTTGAATGCTAAATGCTGAAACGTTTCCATTGTGTATGATTATTATTGTTCGGAATAATGTTTAATATTACATATATATTATTACTGTATGCATATATTGATCGATTGGTTTTTTTGTTTAAAATGAACTCTGTGCAAGTATGTCAAAATTGTTTTTGTAGATATATTTATTAATGTCTTTGTCCTGTAAGCAGCTGACGAGAAGGCAACGAAATAAAAGATGGTGACACTTTATTCTGCTAAAACCGTAGTTCTAGTTTTGTTCAAAATTCGTTCGGTAGGTAGATAGTTTACCCATGGGATTGTAATGCATTGATAGTTCCTCTTTTAAGATGCAATCATGATATTGTTTTATGAAGTACATGAGTCAATGGGTCAATGAAAAAATACTCCCCAACCATGTATCATTTGATCCGATAAAGGCAGTCTTAAATGTAATATACTTCACTTGCTAGTGATAATCCCAGAAATGATTGTCGGGAGTGAAACTGTGCACTGTACACCCATAAATGGGAGAATCATAACATTCCATTCACAACACAAAGAAAGCATAAAATCAATCCTAAGAAATTAGGTAAATTTCGGGAATTTTTCATGAAGAATGAATATTGAATAAAGGGTACTCTTTTTGATAACTTTATCATCGGGCTCTACAGTTATATATACATTATAGTGATTGAATAAATTAGTGTTATGAATGACATTAATGCTGTTCAAATAACATCCAATCAATAATATCAGTTGATTACAGTTCAATAGCATCAACATAACAATTAACTGAATGTCAAAAAATTAGGAAATGTAATATTAAAAATTGATGAGTTTATAATCTCTACTGAAGGCCAGGATAGTAGTAGGGGCTGGACTTGTTTCTTTGGAACACAGAGCACTGGTTGTGTTGAGGCGAACTGCAATAGCCTCTGCTGTTTGCAGCATGCGGTGCTTCGATGCTGTTGGCAATTTACTAGGCACCCGGTATATTATAGAGAAGGATTCTACAACGCTGGCTTTGTGGCCGGCCAGTTTGCATCAGATAGTCCAATATCGAACTGTTAATGGTTTTCACTACACCTTTACCTAGCCATAGCGGGAGATGTTCTCGAGCAAGTACGAAAAATCAAGTTCCTAGAGGAACGACCGATTTTTCCTGATTCAGAAGGACAGATGACATCAAGGAATCTTTGTGCTCAAGACTAACAAAACAGATCATCCTGGACATTATGCTCAAGTCTGCAGATAATCTAGCTACTTCTGGCACATCTGAATATATATGCATCAACTGAATCGCAGCTCCTCTTGGAGATGGTTTTATGGAGCATAGAATTAGACAGCCTAACCAAAGTATCATAAAATATCTCCCACCAATTCTCGTCATACAAATTAAGAATTAATTGCAATTTCATTCTGACGATCCTGACTAGTAGCAGTAAGCTAGATAACAACACTTAATCAACTGATGTGATTTATCTGCATCCCATCGAATCTTTCTTTTGAGTGTCAGCTAGCACGAAACCTAGGTCCAAGGCTTCTTGTGGCCAATTCCCTCCAACCATCTAATACCACCTAGTGACCGCATTGCTAACTTGACTGACAGAATTCAGTCTGCATCAGTGACAAGGACTAGACACCTTACACTAGTTGCTGACTAGTGTCCCATCTAAAAGATATCCAGTTTAGTCTTACAAGAGGTCAATCGTGAGTCCGAATAGCTCAATGACAATGTCTCTGACAGCATATATGAGTGACGCGGGTTCGAATCTCCTGAGAAGCGACATGAGTTCCTTCAAGGTGACAACAGATACACCTTGCTGATGGATGAGTGCCAACTAGTCGAAGGCTTCCTGTGACCGATTGTCTCCAACTGTCTTATACATCTTTCCTATGTAACTAATAGTATTAACTTGAGAACTAATCTACAAGGCTAAAGAAACACTAATCATAATAACACTTTTCTCTGTCTTTCTGTCCCTCTAGATGTTATATTTGTACAGTAATCAATAACTTGGTTGAATTTAATTCCTAAATCAAATGCCATGGATGCTGAAAATCGTGTTATCCTGAATGTTGGTGGTATTCGTCATGAAACGTATAAGGCAACGCTGAAAAAGATACCTGCGACAAGGCTATCAAAATTGACCGAGGCTTTAGCTAATTATGATCCTGTGTTGAATGAATACTTTTATGATCGTCATCCTGGTGTATTTTCACAAATATTGAATTATTATCGTACTGGTAAACTTCATTATCCTGTTGATGTATGTGGTCCATTATTTGAAGAGGAATTAGAATTTTGGGGATTAGATGCGAATCAGGTAAGTTATTATTGATGTATTAATTTGTATACTGAATGTACTAGATAAGATGCTTTGTTTCTAAAAGGATCAAGAATACTTCATGCAGGAAACAAAAGACTACTTGGTGAAGAAAATTTTCTGTTACCATGAAATCATTCTCACAGGCTGGACAGTGGTATTCATATTTACACAAAGTATATGGCAGTCCATTAGATAGTTTGAGGTAAACGGAAGGAAGCCTTGAATCACTTAAATTTCGTGCGTAGTTTACACTCACCAGTCAGAAATGCGTCCATCTACAACGTTAAAGAAACTCATGTCACTTCTGAGATTCAAACCCGCGTCACCAGTGCAGCCTGCAGTTAGAGACGTTGCCACTGAACTATTCGGACTCGCACCGTGATGGTGAGCTACCTAAAACGATGGCCACAGTGCAAACCTGATTGATAGAATTCACTCTGCACCAAAGAAAGGACTAGACACATCACACTAGTTACTAGTTTCCAATCGAAATAGTAGTTCATTATTGAGTAGTAGGTTGGCACATAATGGCTTTTGTACCATTAACTGTCACTTTGTAGATAATTTTAAAAGACGACTGTGGTGAAGCTACGTGGCTTGGGTTCACCAAGTACTCAGGAATCAAACTAGTAACTGTCTTGCACTGTCTACTCGCTAATCATGCCGGATAATGTTCAGCGATGAGTTTGGGACTTCATCAAAAGATATCTACCCACAACCCAACCTATCAAGTCAAAGGCCCCCAAGGAAAATACAAAGAAAATTGCCCTACCATATAAATAAAGGACATCTCAGAGATCACTGTATAACTCTTCAAACCTCTAGGAATAGACGTCGCAAACAAACCGACAAAATCATGCACAACCTTGCCATTCTTCCAAACTTATTACTGTCTAGACAAAGTTAGCGGTCCATCGCCTTGGCATTGAGCCTGGAACTTCAAAGTGGTTGGGGAGCGTTCTACCACTGAACTACTGAGGCAAATAAATCAAAATAATCTGCTGCGAAAATTACAGTCTGGAGTACGGCATATTATCAGTTTGCTAAAGTATCTAGTCAAAATTCGAATAGTGTGAACTGATTTAGCACTCTAAACTGAGATATTCTAATTACATCGTTGGAAAGAGTAAACTGGAAAGAGCGAAATGGGCGTATGATGTTGAAATTACCTCCATAATAATGACAAGCCTTACCGGTTGATATGGCTGGTTTCATTCACATCAGCTATATCAGTCAGGCAGTTTTAATTACCAGTACACACATATTACAAGATAAATGAACAAATCAGAGCCCTGGATTATCTAGTGTTTCCAACTAGGCACTTCTTGGATCATAAGATATATCTTACGAATTTCGCAGAATAAAAAGGAGAATAGAGTTTGAGCGCATTGTCATAAAATTATCATTGAAATAACCCCAGCTTGATGAGAAAATCCGAGTGAAGATAAGCTGAGAAACAATCTTCTTTGATTTTCTAATGCTGTTGTGATTATTTCAAATAACTTTGACTGACTGACTGACCGACTGGCTTTAACGTAGGACTTTGCACAGATGTGATGGAGTTCAAGTTACCACACTTTTCCTTCATGTAACACATAAAACAAGAGAATAAAGTAAAGAGAGTTTCGAAAGACAGACAGAGAGATAACAGACAGAATTGTGAGTGAGGGAAATAGAATAGTAATATAGAAGAACAGTAGACGTTTATTGGACATGATAAATCACAAAGAGTGAATACATCTGTGCTAACCATCACCCAGAACGATTTTGAACTAGCCATATCACCGATTGTCTCCAGCCTTCACTGATGTATGCCATCCAGAGGACCCCAACCAGTTAGTTAGTCTACACCTGCCTACGTCAATGGCTTAGACTGATTGCCGTGGACTTGACTTACTGATGAAGTCATGTTTTGGTTTGACCACCAGTGACTTTCTGTTTTCCAACCTGATCCATCCTAAGTCAGCTAACAGTGCCAGTTTTCGAGGAAAGCGATGGATAGGTCGCATGAGCAACACCTCTTTTCCTAACCGTCTCAATCGATTTAGCTGCTTTGCAGCCTTGTCGACTGATTTCCCCCCTCCCACCTACCTAGCACTCGACCGAGGCCTAACCTTTATATTGCTCACCCTATTATACCACTCAACACGGGTGGTAGAACGCAGACATCTATGATCAAAGAAAGCTGGCCAGCCAGGCTTTTCGTGTCTTGCATGTCTCACTCACAGCCCTAGAGGAGGACAGAGCGAATTGATAGGCAGTCCTTTGATCGATAGTAGATTTCACTTCTACGCGAGAGATGGTGTAATTTGGCATAGGCTAAATGAGTCCTGTGTATCCGTGCTGAGATTTTCACCAGCAATCAACCTGCTGGAGCTGGCTGCAGCAACTTCCCAAATAAGTGCCTATCTCCAGGGTAGAAGTCGACATAGTCCATTCTCGTAGCATTATATTACACATGGCGGGAGTGAATCACATGCCCAACATTCAAAGATTGCTGTTCCTCAAGGTTTTCAAAAGACTGTACATTGTGTCTACGTTTCCACCTAGAAGGACTACATCATCTGCAACGACGAGATTATTTCCTTGTGGTGACAAGTAAATCCATTAGGCAGTAGATTCATTTAGGGTTAAGTCCATTAGTAACTTTATAATGACTCAGTGATATTATATGCTCAATTTTTCGAGGAAATTTAACCGTCTTATTATAGTTCAGGTTCGATTCCCGGCCAACACAGTTTGAAAGCTTGGCTAGTCAACAGTGGGTCAGGAAATGAAAAGGCTAGATGCAGAACTAGCAACTCGTACAAACAACATCTGTGCTACTGAAGTTCAACGCTTTTAGTCCTATCTCTAACACTGGCAACGCAAAATGATGGACAAAAAATAGTTTTCCCTAATCACTACCAAGGTACTTAGAAATATTTGTCGTGTCTACAATCAACGTAACATATTAATAACCGGCATAACTTTAAACCTTTCACATTATACTGTCTTTCAATATCTAATGATATACTTAGTCAGGTTAACACAAAGCTTGCTTATCAACCCACAATGAATCTCACTCACAATGCGTAGACTACATTCACTTAACTTTAGTTAATTCACTAATAAAAATCAGTTGGATTATACATGTCCAAACCAAGTTCACTTTTAAAACTTTGAAAAAATTTGAGCATTGGGTATATGATATTCATTATAATAAAAGTTCTCTTGTATTTCACAGTGAATGAATGAAAAACAAAATGATATTGTCGTTGTTTTTACTGACGTTTCGCTATTCGGTACTGCTGCTAACAGCTTTATCAAAGTAGTATTATTAAACCGGAATTTACAAAATCTCAGCATTTATATGACAAAGAGTTAAGAGGTGAGAAAATAGACTACTTAGGTCAAGTTAAAAGGACATATTGAAAGTCAAAATAACAATGAAGATCACTAAACCAAATAACAAAAGTAATACTACATCTGCTATAGTATCAAAACAAAATTCACTAACTTGATCATCGTTCGTCAGTCTGGGGTCATTTTTCTCTGTCAAGTCGGTCAACTGGTAATGATAACAAAACCGAGTGTAGATTGCTGGATTTGATCAGTGTGTAATAAATTCATTCTTGGAGAAAATAAACTGTGTATCTCCCAGAATCCAGTTTACTTTGAAAGCAGAATCAGACGCCGGTGAACTACCATTTCTAGACTGCCCGCCTAGTTAAGAGGAGGGAAAACGGACACTTTAGTATATCCATATTCAGGAAGAAAACCCACTCCAATAAATATTCCGACTTCAGATCATCACACCCCATCAGCGCAAATATTTCAGTTCTTTCAAGTCTTCTTAGACAAAACATGAACCTCAACAATCCTCATCCCATATAGAGCAGAGACGACAGACTATATCAGAAGAGTACTCAATCAGCTTGACATTAGAGTTCTCTTCAATACATCAGATACACTGCGAAACAACCTTGTCCATATAAAAGACAATTTCCCTAAAGATTCTCTATCTAATTGTGTCTGTAAAATAAAATGCTTGGAATGTGATGCAATATACATCGGACAAACATCTTGAGAAATCAAAATCAGAAGAAATGAACACCGTAGAGCATCTGTTTGACCACCGAGAAATACAGTTGAACTAGAAAAACTTGAAAAATCACGCTATAGAATCAGGTCACAAAATTTGATTTTGACAATATTGAAATCATCATCCGGAAAAATTTCAGAAATCACAAAGAACGTATAATATCAGAAGCACTACATATCAAGCGGAATCCAAATTGTCTGAACTGAATGGGAATGATGGACTAAAACAGAATCTGACCTGGTTAGGACATCCCCCTCTCCCATGAATTGACCAAATCAACCTGAATGTGATAAGCAATTTCATTATGTAAACATACGCTGCTTCTATAATTTTTTGCACAATTATCAAATCTAAAAATCTACACCTGGTTTTGTTACCAACTTGACAACGTAAACAGAATTACCCCATTCTGAGGAATGATGATTAAGTTGTTGTATATATGCTGAGTGGATTTTGTAAATTCTGGTTTAATAATACTACTCTGATTAAGCTATTAGTAGCAGCATTAAATAGCGAAACGTCAGTAAAAAACAACGACAATATCGTTTTGTTTTTCATTCATTGACTGTGAAATACAAAAACCTTTATTATAAAATCAGATAAAGTCTGTCCAGCCTAAAGGTTCATTATTAACTATCTTTCATTGTATTTCAAAATAACTAATTAACCAGACACAGGAAAAGTTGTACCTAACAGTTTTAATGAACAAACACAGTTTCTCTCTCTCTCACACTCTGTGTAAGTGCACACTGGCATAATTCCTTCCTTCCAGTTCATTTAACCTCTAATCCTAATCAACTTTGCATAAAACACAGAAATCGTATGATATATATTTTAAAAAAATAACCGATATTTCTGATAACCATATGAAGAATAAGGAGCCAACTTTAAGCATTTTGTTTTATTACATAAA